GATCATCTGCCATTTGGTACGAAATGGATTTTTCCAGCAGAAACATTATATTTCTGACAGGAAGTGCTCCAGGTATCGCCAGAAGTGCTACAGCTAGCCGCCACTAAATGCACTTAACCATACATTAATTAAAAATAACAGTAAAAATAAAACTTAAAGCAGCGTTAAGACATAAATTAGTGTCAACTCGTGCTCCATTACATCAGTTCGGTCAAAGTTTAACTCTTTTTCTTCAAGCCAAGGTCATTTAAAGAGTTATCTACAACAGGTAAGATATTAATTGCTAATAAAATCAAGTCTATCACTTTATGAATTGAGTGATCCTTTTCTTCTTGAATCTGGTTGCTTTATTTAACCGTGTTGTTTTCAGGGGGGTTGACAGCAGGTTAGATAGAAGCTGTTTAAACCTTCCTGTGGAGGCACGGTGACGTCAGAGGGAGTGGGCTGCGTTTTGACAATCATCAGAACTGCTGTCAACTCCTGCAGATTACTAAACTACCTTGAAAGGTTTCGCTTTTTCACCTGCAAAACATGATTCGCTCAATATCTCATTATCTTATGTCCTCCCAGCCTCTGCACCTCCATCTGCTTCACGTCTTTATTATTTATTCTGCATTTCCTCTCTGTCCATTCCCCTCCTCATGGTCATCTTCTTTGATTAAGTTGTTTCAGTTCGTTTTCTAAAACAAACATACAGAACATTTAGGCTCTTATATAATCCTGAACAGGAATGATATTTCATCTTGTTTTATCCCATCCCTCCCTTCATTGCTGCTCCAATAATTCCCCTGTTTGTGATGAGTCATGCTCACACAGCCTTTAAAAACACTCCTGAACTGGACATTTTCTCCATATTGGAACTGGAAGCAGAAGCTTTGCAAGAAAAATCATCTCAAAAAGCTCATCTTCCTGGTTTAACCTTTTTAACGGTGATTTTCAGGTAAAATATATCTACGGTGAGTTTGGGCTTCAGTGCTAAATCCAAATAAATGAGATCCCACATGGACCAATTGACCCCTTTGGACTGGCCGAGCTCAAAAACTTTTATTGGGCCAACATTTGTGGAGCTGTTTGAATCTAAATAAGGCATTTGGCAGTGAAGAGGAGAGCTGGGGAGGGATGAAGGAGGAAAAAAGACTGGGAAGAGGAGAAACAAGACAACACGAACAGGCTGGACATCAAGGACAAACGAGCTGGGAGATGGGTGCAAACTAAATTATAAAATCTAAAGTAATGGCACGGTAATTTAATGTGCTCGGAACAGTGATGCTCGTGTTTTGGAGGAAAAAAGTCATTAAAAGAGATTAATAAAGAAAAACGTACCAGTCCTAAATATTGAAATCAGTTATACAAGAGGAATGATGAAGACTTTAATGGGGGGGGGGGGGGGGGGGGGGGGGGGGGGGCGGTGATGGTTTCCAGGATTTTTTAGGATATCGATGGAGCTTTTATTCTCCTGAACGTCCTAACAGAGGGGGGAGCAAGCAGAGCTGTAGGTGCAGCGCTCGTGCAGGTGTGGGACGACGACAAAACGGGAGTTTAAAGAAGGCAGGTGCAGAGAGAGCGGCTGTTTATGGGGGTTGAAAAGGTCGGAGACTCGGTGGGGGGGCCTCGAGTCAGCAGGATACACATGTGTGTGTGGGGGGGGGGGGGGGATGATGGCTGGCAGAGGAAACAAATGGAGAGGTGAGGGGGAGGGAGGAGGAAGTGAAACAGCTGATTTTCTTCCCTTTTTTTCCTCACTCAAATAAACTGAGCAAAGAAGTTTCTCACACATGCTGGGAAGTAGTTTTGTGTTGTGATAAACTCTTGCTGGTGGAGATTCTCAGTCATCCAGGTCATCATAACAACGGTGTACCTCAAGGCTCAGTCTTAGGTCCCACCCTCTTCACAATCTACATATAATGTAGGTCAGAGCATCCCTGATCCCTTACATTTCTATACTGATGACACAGTTGTTTATTGTTGAGCTAAAACAGTTGCAAAGGTTTTCCAGCTTTTGCAATCTGCTTTTGACATCATCCAGTCAGATTTGTTCCACCTCAAACTGGTGCTAAATGCCTACAAAACCAAAGGGATGCTGTTTTCAAACAGGAAGTCAGTCCCAGCAGTTCTTCCTTCGGTTTTGTCCTCGAATGGTGTCCCTAAAGAGTTTGTCGATTCCTACAAATATTTGGGTATCTTGGTCGACTCACATCTTTCTTTTAAACCCCATGTTGAAAACCTAGTAAAGAAACTGAAAGTTAAACTGGGTTTCTTTTTCAGAAACAGATCCTGTCTAACCCTGGATGTTAGAAAACGCCTTGTATCTATGACTTTCCTTCCCTCCATTGATTACGGTGACATTATTTACATGAACGCTCCTACAAGAACCCTGCAGATGCTGGATGCTGTCTATCACGGTGCACTAAGATTCATTACTGGCTGTGATTATCGTACCCACCACTGCACCCAGTATTCACTGGTTAACTGGTTATCATTAATCTCAAACAGACTCTCCCACTGGTACATTTTCATCTTTAAATCACTTCTTGGTCTGTTACCTTCATACATCTCCTCCTACATGTCTCTGTGTGAGTGCAGCTACAGCGTGCGCTCTCAGGACATTATTACCTGAAGTGTTCCCTCAGTGAGAACTGAACTAGGCAAAAGGGCCTTCTCCTACTCTGCTCCTGTTTCCTGGAATGTCTTGCAAAAAGATCAGAAGCTCTTGACCTTGACCTCTCTAAGTGGCTTCAAACATCTAAGTTCATGGGAAAAACCAATGCAGACATGTTGCTGTTTTTAGTATTTTACACTGCGTTACAATGTAGCTGTTTTTGTTTCGTTTTTGTTAATACCATTTTCTTTTATTTGATCTTCTCAATTTGTATGCTTTTTATGAATGTCCACTGTTGTCATCACTGTTAAATTCAGGTCTCTCTTGTATGCGAGTCCCTGAGGCTCAATAGGATTATCCTGTATAAATAAAGGTTGAATGAAAAATCAATCCTAAAATAAAGGTTAAAACAAAAACAACTGGACTTCTGCTCTGACGCTGAAGACGTTTCACTTCCCATCCAGGAGGTTTGATCACTTCTCAAATGTCTGGGGTATGTGGAGCTCCATGCTTTATAAAACTGCACGAGAAACCTGGTTGTGGTCTTAGATTCAGCTGCAGGTCAGACTGGAACTGCTCGCCCTGCACAATTCATTCAACCTTTATTTATACAGGTTAGTCTCATTGAGCCTCGAGGACTCATTTACAAGAGAGACCTGATTTTAATAAAGAGTGATGACAACAGTAGACAATTGAGGCTCGTTAGATTATCTGGTTCAGAGAGATGCTTTGGTCACCTGCATGAAGGTTTGACTTGGAGGAGCTGACTTGGAATCAGACCTAATGCTACATTGCAAGTCTTAGAAAGTTGAAACCTGAGACCTCCTCCTCTGTTTAAAGTTGTTTCGACTCGTTTGAAGTAAATGGCTTCCTTGAAACCATCTTCTCTGTCTGAAATATGAACATTCTGGTCCTCAGCGGTGTCTCTCATCCTTGACGCTTGAATCTTGTCCTGAAGAGCTAGCTCAGTGCTGAGCCATGCGTCTACGAAGAGTTTGTTTAGTTGGGAGTTAAAACTCATAAATTTATTCCGTTTCACCAGTCGGGTAATAAATGTTCCCACTGTGTTTGTGTTATTAATATTCTGACAGTACACATTTGAACAACTGACGTATGGAAGAATATTTAAACTTTATCCGATAGTTTAAAATATGGACTGGGATAATTACAGAAGTGTCTGATGTGTGTACAGTGACCTCTGGAGGTACAAACTGTGAAATGCAACCAACTCATCCACCTTCAGTAACTGACCATGTAAAAGGCTCAAGGAGTGCTCAGTTTACACGTCGTTTTCTTTCAGGCTATTAAACGGGTGAGGAGTGTGACAGAATGCAGCATAAATAAATATAATCTGCTCAGTCTGACTTGTCACCGTTCTAAATGAATGAAAATGTAGATGTGAATGTTTTAATATAATTCATAACAAAAGGCCTTATTGATTATATATTGTGCTATAGCAACTGCAAAAACAAATGTTTTGTTCTTTAAAAAGAAAAAATGAAAACTTGCCACACAAATACCCACTTTTCTAACAGTCTCCATTTTAAAAGTCTGATGCTCACGCTCTTGGGAAACATTAATTCTGACTGCAGATATATCTGTATGCACAGTATTTTGTCAAACATTTAATCAAACTGACAAGTAATACAAAATTAGTGGACTGAGGCAGAAAATATATTCTAAAGTTTGTTACTAAAAGGCTTGATTGAATGCAGATTGCTGTTGTTTAAATATGAGGAAGTCAGTACATCTGATCTGATTTAGACACCATGATTTGATAACAGCTTCATACTTTATCTGTGCAAAACAATAATGCAAAGGGTTCCTTTTCTCTTCTTTTTGTTTAACGAAGGGTTACGGTGTCAACCCAATACCACTACATACTGTACCAGAACATTAAGGACAGTTTCTAATGTACTTGGGTCGGTTCATGGCTTTCACTGGGCCTAATTGGCTTCTTTATCTGGATATTTGCTGCAAGTCCTGCCTGCTGAAAATTATCACCTTGCAGCTTCTCGTGTATTTAACATTTTGTGCTTTGTCTCATATTTCAACCTTGTTTTAATAATTGTTATTAAAAACAAACAGCAGGACCCATGTTCCTTGAAATATGTCTTATCAAAAAATAGCCTTATGTTCCCAAAACGGTAATATTTATAAGCTACATTATAACAACCTTCACAATTTAATATTTGAACTCAAACATCGCAAAACATTGTCACTTTATTATATTAATAATATTAGTAATAGTAGGTAGTACATTATATTATTATAACCTTGTCACAGGATCTTGATCGGGCTCTTCCTTTGCTCCATTAACTTTGCTTTTGGCGCCCTCTTGTGGTCATATGGGTCATTTCACACCCCTATCCGTGAGCTTTAATCAATTTTGAGCCATACTGGTAGCCGTAGGGTGGAGCAAACGTTGCCTTAGCAACGGCCTCCCTGCAACTTTGAACTTATGCTTCACAAGATTGTCATTAATGCAAATTTCTGTAGATTTGACCACTCAAGGCCTCGATGGCTACAAGCAGCTCGTCTGTGTTCCTTCTCACAGTGAACGGACAGATCGAGGGCGCGAACGTGAGTGCTTCTTCTTCTACGGTTGTTAGCTTAGCGGTTAGCATTAGCTACAACTGAGCGTCGGGATTTTCGTGGAATTTCTCAGTTGGTTTCGCGCCTGGACCACTTCCAGTGTTCATGACAACTTCTCTCTTGTATTTCAGTTTCCCGAATATGACAATTTGTATTGCAAATATTGTTACGTGTACGGCCACGATTGGGCTCCCACCACAGTGAGTAGCACTCAGGAGTATATAATGGCTGATAATAGGATTATGTTTGTTTTTGTGTCAGAATGAAATGTGTTTTGTCCATGTTTCCTCACCAGGGTCTAGAAGAAGGCATCACTCAGATAACATGCAAAAGCAGCCAGTCCAACAGGTTAATATGGAACTTCCCACTGGAAACCACCTTTAAGAGCACAAACCCATTTGGATGTAAGCAAATCACACTGACACGCATTTGCAGCTGTTATCATCTCCAGAACAAATTATTAGACCTTTGCTTTCCATTTTCAAATCTAAGTCCAGGCTGAGTGTTAATGCGTGTCTCACGGTTGGTTTTCCAGGGCCTCAGCTTGTGGTGAGCGTGTATGGTCCAGATGTGTTTGGCAATGATGTGGTCAGGGGCTACGGAGCAACGCACATCCCTTTCACACCTGGACAGTCGGTGTTTTTAGCTCCCCTCCACTAAACACCAACATAAAGCATGAAGTCGTTACTTCTTGTTTCCAGTTTTAAATTCAGACGATAATGTGGTTTCTCCTCCTCAGACAAAAAAGAACCATTCCCATGTTTGTTCCTGAGCCCACGTGGAGACTGCAGAAGTTCACAGGGTGAGATTTGTCTGATGAGCTGCACCTCAACCCATTTAAGTAGCTTGCAGTCTCTTCAGTGTTGGTGCTTTTTGCTCAGTTCTTTTTTAAAAATTAAAAATGCTTCGGTGGCTTCTTTGTGAAGAATAAGGTGCTTTTTTTCCCCTCTTGTTCAGCTGGTTGTTAGGACGGCGGCCCGAGTACACGGACCCTAAAGTTGTAGCGCAGGGGGAAGGCAGAGAAGGTTTGTGGTACATTCGTTTCTTTAAACACAAACACCGACACGTTAGTAGTTTTCATTCAGTTCAGGAATACAAGTTTATGTTTCCCTTTTTTTAAACGATTCTTCGTATGATAAACTGATCACCATTTAGCGCAGAATTTCTCCAAGGTTGGTTGTTTATTGTTCAATGAGTTATATTTTTCTACCGCAGTGACGAGGGTTCGGTCTCAAGGCTTCGTAACGGTTTCCTTCAACATCATGACTAAAGACATGAAGAAGATGGGCTACGATGCAGGACCACCTATCCCATCCAACACCCAGTCTGCCACACCCGACTCGTAGAGGAAATAACTCACTGCTCGTTATTTAAGCCTTCAGGATGTTTTTACGTTCACATCAAAAAATGCAAATTCATGTGAATTTACAGCAGTCAGCCATAACATTATAACCACTTCTCACGTTCGACACAAGCAAATACGGGGGGTATCTGAAATCGGGACATTGGATGTTTTTGACTTATCTGGATAGTATGAGTCGGTTTATTTAAAGTAATACTTTAGATCTTCTGAAGTGGAGTTCGACAGAACAATTGTTCAAATCCTACTTGCAGGTCTTTAAATAACCTGTTTGGAGAAACAGATTAATTCTGACAACAAAGAGTTAACAGCTAGTCCAACCACAGCCAATCAAAGTGGATTAAATTCCATATTTGGAATGTGATCACTTTGTAGAATCCTATAGTTGGGTTTTCACATCAAACCTCCAGTATGTAGGTTTGTTGTACCAATATGAGTAGTGTTAAAGTATCAGCGGTCATAATGTTATGGCTGAATGATGTTGATCCACAATACTGACCACAGATGACTTTATATGTAGCATGCATTTTCTACTGTTTGTACTTTTTAAATAAATGAATATTTTTATTTGAATATTCTTACTGCCGTTAAAACTAAACGAGTAGTTTGGACTAAATCCTCTCGTTCTCTAAAACCCTCAAAGGGACAAAGACTGGAGCCGCGGAGCTGAAGTGGAACATTTTATTTTGAACCAAATGCAGCTACAGATGTTGTCATCCAGCAGGGTGTGGCCTGCTGCGTTACGTGTTTAGAAGCCGTTAAAATACCACAATGACTTTTTCCTACAAAAAAATAATAACCCAGTACACGGAATAATAAGGTATACAGAAGAACAGTATGTTACAATAGTACAAATGATAAATTATATTATACAGTTATAATGCCGACAGGTTGAGCACAGTTTTACTAAAAAATAAAACAAAAGACCGTAAGCAGCCTGCTCCCAGCACTGAGTGGACACCTGGAGAATAAACGAGTCCATCCTCTTGATAAAAGTGGACTGAACACGTGGGGGCTGCGTTTTTAGAGATGTAGTGACGAGAAAATGTTCCAACCCACAGCCAAATTGATTATTTTATTTCATTTACTGCATCAACTCCACTTTTACAAGAGTAGCGTTTAGATCTGGTTGGAGTGAATTAAAGGCCAGTGGCTGGGGCAAACCCCACTTTTTGTATTCCACTTTTTTTTTCTTTTTTTTTTTTGCATATATCTCATCAAGAAATGTTTTCTGGTCCGCAAGACCCACAGAACCCATGGTGCTTAGCATTATTCAGTTCACACACCTGAGGCTGCCCCAGCTTTTTGCCTGAGAGAATGAAAGGTCTGTGTTGGTGGGAACAACTTACTGCAGCTGACCAGTAGGGGGAGCCAAACCACATAGAAAGACAGGAAAGATGCCTTCAGCTGCGAGAAACACTGGCAGTTGGAATAAATCCAGACATTTACGTACTTTTTTTTAAAGAAGAAAAAAAACTACACAATATGTGCAATTTCTCTTCCGCCTTGTTTCATAACCAGCAGAAGAAGAAGAGACGCTCAGCCTGCTGTCTGTAAATCCGTTAATATTTGTGACATGTTCCTACACAAACTCAACAGGATGTAAATTAGTTCAGACTTATATTACTGCTCATCTTGTATCATTTATAAACAGAAACAAAGACAAAGTTAGTGAAGTGTGACCCTACTGTTCAAAGTATTCAGCATCCACAGAAATCACAGTTGCTCTGACTTTGGTAACAGTTGTGCTCCTAGAAGAAAATTAACAGCCTATCCATGGAGGGTGAGTTTGAAAAGAAAATAAATCAAAATGACACATGGCTTTGCTAATGCACACCTCTGAAACTCAAAGGTTCGGCGTGGATGTACACCTAACAACGACAAAAGGAGAGCAACTGCATGAGCGCGGGCTTGTTTACACGCTGCAGGACTCCCCTCTTGCTATCAATAGACTGATCCTGGAACAGCTCTGTTTAAGAGCGCGAGCGCTCCGTCATGTTCTCGTACACAGATTAGCCAAAGCCATCTCTGCAGCCTCGTTACCGCGGTAACGCTCCTTGTACAGTTGCACACGTACATATAAACTTAAGGCTAGTGACAACTCCTTTTATCCAGTTGCACTTTGGAAAGTAAGGAAATTTTAAATCCATTTTTTTTTTTTACTTAATCTGCTCAATGAAATAAACTTGGAAGCTAAACTCACGCCTCACCACCACACCTCGTCATCCCTTTGACCCTAGACACGTACAAAGAAAAAATAATGTCCACAATGCCTTGCAGCATCCGTTTTGTTCAAATCAAACAATACTGAAACAGTTCATGTCATTTACTCTAAAAACATTAATGTGGGGAGGGGGGCAGTAGAAAATGCTTTAACTTGTGTGTTAGTATTTGTGCAGTAACTGGACACCTGTATGAGTACACAAACAGAGAAAAAAGTATTTTCACCACTTTAAAAAAAAAAAAAAAAGAAGTTTCTTCTCAGGAGTGTTCTTTGTGACATGACCCCTCGAGGTCAAAGTTCATGTGGAAGGTCAGAAAAAGGTTCAAGGTGGGGTTGGAAAAAGTGGGGTGGGGGTGTCTGCGCTTCAGATGTGACTGGGTAGTACCGAGAGCCGAGGCAGTGTGTGTGTGTGTGTGTGTTGTTTTATCCTCTACGCTAAGGTATAACGGTGAGTCCAACAGTCGCAGAAAGGAAACCGCCCCCTCACCCCCCCTCACCCCCCACCCTCACCCCATACCCCCCCCCTCACCCCCCACCCTCACAAAAGAAGCAAAATTGTGCAAAATTCCTGCTCTGAGACACAAAAACCCACACGCAGAGTAGAAAACACATCTGACCATCTTTCATCCTCCAGAGAGTAAAACTCACCAGAACATACACAGTGTAAAAGTACTGAGATGTGCACACTCACACACACACGTGCACACACTCACTCTCACGTGCACACTCACACAAACCAGCTGACAGAGCTTATAAAAGATTAGTTGTAGAGAAGAGATCAGGTTGTGGTGTTAGTACAGTTAGACGCTCCTGTCTCCCATAAAAGAGGGGAGGAGTGGTCCGAAGGGTGAGGAGGTGAGGGAGTGGGAGGAAGAAGTGGGTGTGGGGGTGGGGGTGGGGGGGGGGGGGGGGGGGGGGGGGGTTCTGTTCTGCCTCTGTGGAAAAACTGAACCCCACTGTGACTCTGAAAGTTTGTAGTTACAGGGTCTGTACCCGATAGTTTTAGGGTCGTCTAGGCAGCGTGTAGCTTCAGATGGGAAGGGTCAGGAAGTGTGTGTGTGTGTGTGGGGGGGGGGGGGGTTAGTAGCAGTCCAGGCTGCACCTGGTTAGGAGTGGCTTATATATGGATATATGGGATAAAATATCTCCTCGTCCATGTTGAAGCTTGTTGAGGAGCATGATGGAGACAAAGGTCGGGGCGGGGCTTCACGCTTCGTGTCACCCTCTCACAAAAGAAAGGGATTGGTGGTTCCAGCAGGATGTGTCCCCGCCTGGGGGGGCATGCTCATCAGCGGCTGGGGCATGGACATGGAGGCTGGAATCCCAGGACTCATCCCTGTGCCCGTTCCTCCCACAGCGCCAGCACCCATTCCTGGCATCCCGCGACCCATGGGAGCCATCCCTGGCAGGGGGACCATGGTGGGGGGCGGAGCCGAGGAGACGGGCTCTGCCATGCCACCAAAGCCAGAGGGCATCGGGCTGACACGCATCTGGTTGAGTGTGGGGGGAACCGGCTGGCTGACTTGGAATGGGTTGACATGGGAAGCTGGAGCAGAACCGCCTGCAGGAAACGAAACATCAGTTACTGACAGACAAGGTGGCCATTTTTAAGAACAAGGTGATGAACAGAGTCAGAGCAACTACAGGGGGATCAAGTTGATGAATCACACGAGTGACTTGTGGAAGCTAGACTTAGAGGAGAGGTGACTGTGAGCAGCAGTATCGTTTCATGCAGAGAAAGAGCACCACAGGCGCCATCTTTGCTTTGAGGATTCTGACGGCATCAAGGATCATTAACTTCACGGACGTATTAACATTAGAAGGAAATAAATGTCGAGGAATTACAGAAACCTATCAAACAATCCACAAAAATATAAAACAATGTACTGTTTATTTTTCTTAGGACTGTATTGTCTAAACTCAAGTCAATAAATATAGTTGGTAAAAACAACTAATTGGAGCTTTGAGTACATTTTACAGCGATGGATCGAGTCGTCTCGTTGAGCTCCTACCTGTGGAAGCCAAGAATGGGTTAACAGCTGGTGCCGGCTGGGCTGGTTTGGACACCAGAGAGTCCAAATTGACCAGGGCAGCATTGGGTCCCAGGAATGACTCTGGAGTCTTTCTAATTGGATTTGTGGTGATGGGAGATGTTGAGGTGGGCATGGGGTCAAAGAAGTCCAGGCTGCTGCTACTGGTAAGACTGACTTGTGAGGGGACAGAGGATGCTACGCCTCCATCCACTGAAAAAAAGAAAAAAGTGGGGGAGTTTTGGTTTATTTTAAATTAATAAAATTAAAATAAAAAACGCTTTGAATGAGCAAAACGCTCTAAAAACCAACAATTCTAATTTGATTTGCCAAATAGAAACTGCTACATGTCTCTTAGAGTCAACTGTTTAGACTTGTTCTAGTTTATCTTTTGATTTGTGCAAGTCACAGGTCCACTGCCCTTCTGCACCCGAGCGCCTGTATTCACATTTAGTGAAAAATAAACCCAGGTCGATGCAATAAAATGATGATGCTATTACAAGAAGACATCAGAGGCAGACAGCCTGGCTGTTTGTGTCAACAGCTGGACAGAAGCAGAGACGTTCTTTAAAGCACTAAAACCAGCTGAGCATGCCTGGGAGGACATGAGGAAATGTCCCAGAGGGCAACTTGGTGACATCAGACACAGCAGAGCGAAGCCCGTCCATACTGTGCATTAAAATCCTATTAATCTTGAATTTACATCGAGTCAGGTCTGTAACCATCACTCTGCAGATTACTCTTTTTCTCTTAATCTTCTGTCCTTCATCTTTAGTTTGTTTCTGATGAGCTAAAGCTCCGGTCTGACACAAATATGACCCTCGCACGCTTAAAGACCGAGCCAAACAAGTCGCTGGAATCTTGTCGGACGTCAACCTGAAAGGTTTACAATTCACCGTTAAACAAGGATTTCCATAAACTGGATCGCATGGAGATAAAAACGTGTTTAGTGCTGCACAAACAGAAGCTGCACCAGATACCACAGTGATACGAGACCAGATTTGGGCAGGCAGTTGCACCATAAATTATCCTTACTGCTAGATTTAAAATGCATTTAAAGGAAGAAGTCATCGACTTAAACAAGATGGCTCCAGTGGTGCAAACTGCCTCTGCTCAATTCTGGTGAGACATGCATACAAAGACAAGACCCAGTGTCTCCGTGCCCATGTGCAGAGACAAACGTGTCTGCAGACAGGTGTATTTTAAGACACAGAGAAAAATAAAATAAAAAACACAGACTCCGTGTCATTAGAGGGACAAAGACAGGGTGAGTACCAGTGGGGACAGAGGAAGAGCGCAGGCTGTCAAACTCTGAGAAGTCTTCTTTGGATGTACCATTGGACGTACTGAACAGGTCAAAGCTACCTGAAAGGAGACAACCCACACACACACACAAACACACACATACACAACAAAAATACACAGACAGTGCACAAAAGTCATATAAAAAGTAACAGAAACGCACAAAGACAAATGGAAGCAAACATTACAAGTACAGGTGAGTGTGGATCCCTCAGTAAGTAACAAATAAACATTACAAGGAACTGAAAGCATGCGGATGGGCCTGACTGTGGTGTGTTTGTGACCCATTGTGAGTTTAAACAAAAACCAGGTGTCTTCAAGGCACTCGTCAGTCACAGATCCCCTTTTACCAGAAAAGACACAGAAAACAGAAACCTCCCATAACTTTTTAACGATCAACAGGTTAACAGTGACATTATACCCTTTCAGTGGGTTTGAAAAGGTAGATGATGGATAAATATGATGCAATATACGTCGTTTCTTCGGGACATTTAGTTTTGGACTGTCCCAGTTGTTGCCTTCACAAAATATCATTAAAAATCTGTTAAACCAACCAAAGAGAAATTAAAGAGACAAAGTGTTTACTTGTGTTGGAGGTCTTGGGGCGGGCAGCTGCAGAGCCCCAGGGATCAGAGGCAGGAGTGGAGTTTGACACCCATGGGTCTGCGCTCCTCATGGAGGGGACAGAAGGAGGAGTGCCCCATGGATCGGAGGGTACTGCTGGCTTGGGGGCAGACCCTGAGGAAAAGTTCAGAGCTCAGTTTAAGGTGCAGTTTGACCACATAAACCAGGGGAGAGCCCTCAGAGAAATATTACTCAAAACATGATTTTTATTGAACATAAAACATTGAAATGGGAGTAAAAATACACAAACATTTAATTGTTTTACTTAAAAATCAAGGCACAATTTAAAACACCCACATCTTGTAGAAAAATTACAAAATTTTGAATAGACTTTTGCAGACTACTGAACTCGGTGTTTTCCCCAGATCAGTTCCCTTGGTGGTGCGCTCTCTTCAAATTTTATTTTTGTCGGGGGGGACGGGACAGAGTCACGTCTGTGTTGTCTGCCAGCTAGCTTAGTGCTGCGTTGCTGCCGGTTCTATTTCATCCCTCCTGACCGCCAGAGGGCGGTGCTGAAAGCACTGAATGTTCCCTTCGCGCATGCGCTGATTCGAGTAATAATACCAACGGAGTCACAGGTGTGACACGGATGACCAATCAGAGGCTATATAGCCCGACGTCATCCGCTGCTCTGCTCCTATTTTCTTCTCGCGCGCGGTTCAATTCAGGGCTTCAGCCCTTTGGACCTTTTCTGAACTTTTTACCGTCGTCGGAAGCCCGACTGCCCGTCTGCGGGAGTAGCGTGTTCGCCCTCCTAGGGCTGCGACGGTTTAACCCTGTTCAAAGGTATTTCTGCTGTTTCGTTGGGAACTACGGCTGTTTTCGCCTCTCCCAACTTACAGCGTCTGACTACTATGTGTGTGATTCAACACCGGTGAGTAGTTTTCCTTATATTTCGCCGTTGGTTAGCGGTAGCGTTCGCTCCGCTCACGCTTGTTAGGAGACCTCCAACCGCGTGGTCGGCTGGACTGTGCTCCGACGTTGTTTATGACTACTATGTGTGTGATTTAACACTGGTAAGTAGTGGTTTTTTGCTTATATTTTGCTATTTGGTTAACGGTAGCGTTCGCTCCGCTCTTGTTTACTGGAGGCCTCCAACCGCGTGGTCGGTTGGACCGTGCTCCGAAGTTTGTTTATTACGTAGCCAGCTGAGTTTCTGGCCTTGTTTTATTTGGTGAAGGCGAGTGTTCTCACCCCCTCTCCCAAT